TTTGCAGGTTTGCCCACTTACAAAGAATGCAACGATCTATAACTTTAATCATATGTACATTCTAACAGTGAAAGACAGAATCCCAAAGAAAATTCCAGAAAATCACATCATATGAATTTATAAAAATTGATAACCATCTGATGAGGAAAAAGAAGCATTCTTTGTAAGTGGGCAAACCTGCAAAATCAGCAAGGGGTCAAATACTTCTTTCCCCCGCTGTAACTTTTTGTTATAGTTTGATTAGCAAATGTGTACCTTCCACTTCCAGGAAGCCGTCTCGGACGCAGAGAGAAATCTCGGAGGCGGAGAAGTGGGCCAGGTCCATGCTGACCCTCCACCTGCTGATCCTCTGGCTGGGGGGGGCCGGCGACTCGGAGATGTGGGGCACGAACATCGGGGCGGGAGCGAAACCGGGCCAGAACCAGGCGGCCAAACCCCTCTGGGACCGGTCCATGTCCGACCACCCCCCCGCCTCCAGGAGGGGCGGCAGGCCGAAGTCTGGACCGAAGAGACGGTTGGGCTGCCACCACCTCCTCAGTGGGTACCGACCGGTGCCCCTGTCTCCGTCCTCCATTTTGTTCTGCTGACTCATGTTTCGGGAAGGAAAGGAGTCAAACGGATGGGCCTCTTTTGAGCGGAAAGGAGTCAAATCAAGGGGCCTCTCTTGAGCTGAGTTTGCAAATGGATGGGCCTCTTTTGAGCAGATCTGAGTGGAGTTTGGGGCTGAGTTCTGGTTCTCAGAGAGTAGAGATCTAGCTAACGAATGATCGGACGGTTTCGGACTCTTTCCCGATCTCAGAGCGGTGAGGAACAGGCTTTATATACGCAGCCCCAATCCGATTTAGCGCCTATCGAGGGCTCATGCCGATCCCATGAGGTGGGATGAGCAGGCATGGGGTGATGATGGGCGTGGAGGGGAGGCCGTTCCACCTCGCTGGAACACGGAGGCCTAATTAATTGTATTTATAACTTTTGAAGGCGCGATGGGAAATAGCAGGGCGGTTGGCCGCGTTTGAACCGGGGGATCTGTTTCCC